GACCCTTTACTTTGTTGAAGCACGTTTGGCAACGATTACAGCCTCGGGTCTTCTTGGGTATGACACTACAAGCTTGGCACACCTGTATTTGGGGAGTTTCTCCCATTCTTCTCTGCAGATCCTCTCAAGCTCTGTCAGGTTGGATAGGGAGCATCACTGCACCGCTATTTTCAGGTCTCTCCAGAAATGTTAGATCGGGTTCAAGTCTGGGCTCTGGCTGGGCCACTCAAGGACATTCAGAGACTTGTCCCGAAGCCACTCCTGCATTGTCTTGGCTGTGTGCTTCAAATCAAATCAAATCAAATTTTATTGGCCACATGCGCCGAATACAACAGGTGCAGACATTACAGTGAAATGCTTACTTACAGCCCTTAACCAACAGTGCATTTCTTTTTAACAAAAAAAGTAAAAATAAAACAACAACAAAAAAAGTGTTGAGAAAAAAAGAGCAGAAGTAAAATAAAATAACAGTAGGGAGGCTATATATACAGGGGGGGTACCGGTGCAGAGTCAATGTGCGGGGGCACCGGCTAGTTGAGGTAGTTGAAGTAATATGTACACGTGGGTAGAGTTAAAGTGACTATGCATAAATAATTAGCAGCAGCGTAAAAGGATGGGGTGAGGGGGCAGTGCAAATAGTCCGGGTAGCCATGATTAGCTGTTCAGGAGTCTTATGGCTTGGGGGTAGAAGCTGTTGAGAAGTCTTTTGGACCTAGACTTGGCACTCCGGTACCGCTTGCCGTGCGGTAGCAGAGAGAACAGTCTATGACTAGGGTGGCTGGAGTCTTTGACAATTTTGAGGGCCTTCCTCTGACACCGCCTGGTATAGAGGTCCTGGATGGCAGGAAGCTTGGCCCCAGTGATGTACTGGGCCGTACGCACTACCCTCTGTAGTGCCTTGCGGTCGGAGGCCAAGCAGTTGCCATACCAGGCGGTGATGCAACCAGTCAAGATGCTCTCGATGGTGCAGCTGTATAATTTTTTGAGGATCTGAGGACCCATGCCAAATCTTTTCAGCCTCCTGAGGGGGAATAGGCTTTGTCGTGCCCTCTTCACGACTGTCTTGGTGTGTTTGGACCATGATAGTTTGTTGGTGATGTGGACACCAAGGAACTTGAAGCTCTCAACCTGTTCCACTACAGCCCCGTCGATGAGAATGGGGGCGTGCTCAGTCCTCTTTTTTTTCCTGTAGTCCACAATCATCTCCTTTGTCTTGGTCACGTTGAGGGAGAGGTTGTTGTCCTGGCACCACACGGCCAGGTCTCTGACCTCCTCCCTATAGGCTGTCTCATCGTTGTCGGTGATCAGGCCTACAACTGTTGTGTCGTCGGCAAACTTAATGATGGTGTTGGAGTCGTGCCTGGCCATGCAGTCATGGGTGAACAGGGAGTACAGGAGGGGACTGAGCACGCACCCCTGAGGGGCCCCCGTGTTGAGGATCAGTGTGGCAGATGTGTTGTTACCTACCCTTACCACCTGGGGGCGGCCCGTCAGGAAGTCCAGGATCCAGTTGCAGAGGGAGGTGTTTAGTCCCAGGATCCTTAGCTTAGTGATGAGCTTAGAGGGCACTATGGTGTTGAATGCTGAGCTGTAGTCAATGAATAGCATTCTCACGTAGGTCTTCCTCTTGTCCAGGTGGGAAAGGGCAGTGTGGAGTGCAATAGAGATTGCATCATCTGTGGATCTGTTGGGGCGGTATGCAAATTGAGTGGATCTAGGGTTTCTGGGATAATGCTGTTGATGTGAGCCATGACCAGCCTTTCAAAGCACTTCATGGCTACAGACGTCAGTGCTACGGGTCGGTAGTCATTTAGGCAGGTTATCTTAGAGTCCTTGGGCACGGGGACTATGATGGTCTGCTTGAAACATGTTGGTATTACAGACTCAGTCAGGGACATGTTGAAAATGTCAGTGAAGACACTTGCCAGTTGGTCAGCACATGCTCGGAGTACACGTCCTGGTAATCCGTCTGGCTCTGCGGCCTTGTGAATGTTGACCTGCTTAAAAGTCTTACTCACATCGGCTACGGAGAGCGTGATCACATAGTCATCCGGAACAGCTGGTGCTCTCATGCATGCTTCAGTGTTGCTTGCCTCGAAGCGAGCATAGAAGTGGTTTAGCTCGTCTGGTAGGCTTGTGTCACTGGGCAGCTCGCGGCTGTGCTTCCCTTTGTAGTCTGTAATAGTTTTCAAGCCCTGCCACATCCGACGAGCGTCAGAGCCAGTGTAGTACGATTCAATCTTAGTCCTGTATTGACTCTTTGCCTGTTTGATGGTTCGTCGGAGGGCATAGCGGGATTTCTTATAAGCGTCCGGGTTAGAGTCCCGCTCCTTGAAAGCGGCAGCTCTACCCTTTAGCTCAGTGCGGATGTTTCCTGTAATCCATGGCTTCTGGTTGGGGTATGTACATACGGTCACTGTGGGGACGACATCATCGATGCACTTATTGATGAAGCCAGTGACTGATGTGGTGTACTCCTCAATGCTGTCTGAAGAATCCCGGAACATGTTCCAGTCTGAGCTAGCAAAACAGTCCTGTAGCTTAGCATCTGCGTCATCTGACCACTTTTTTATTAACCGAGTCACTGGTGCTTCCTGCTTTAGTTTTTGCTTATAAGCAGGAATCAGGAGGATAGAGTTATGGTCAGATTTGCCAAATGGAGGGCGAGGGAGAGCTTTGTATGCGTCTCTGTGTGTGGGGTAAAGGTGGTCCAGAGATTTTTTTCCTCTGGTTGCACATTTAACATGCTGGTAGAAATTAGGTAGAACGGATTTAAGTTTCCCTGCATTAAAGCCCCCGGCCACTTGGAGCGCTGCATCTGGATGAGCGTTTTCCTGTTGATTTATGGCCTTATACAACTCATTCAGTGCAATCTTAATGCCAGCATTGGTTTGTGGTGGTAAATAGACAGCTATGAAAAATATAGATGAAAACTCTCTTGGTAAATAGTGTGGTCTACAGCTTATCATAAGATACTCTACCTCAGGCGAGCAAAACCTCGAGACTTCCTTAGTATTTGATTTTGTGCACCAGCTGTTGTTTACAAATATACACAGACCGCCACCCCTTGTCTTACCGGAGTCAGCCGTTCTATCCTGCCGATGTAGCGTATAGCCCGCTAGCTGTATGTTATCCATGTCGTCGTTCGGCCACGACTCGGTGAAACATAATATATTACAGTTTTTAATGTCCCGTTGGTAGGATAACCGTAATCTTAGGTCATCCAATTTGTTCTCCAATGATTGAAGATTGGCTAATAGGATTGATGGGAGCGGCAGTTTACTCGCTCGCCGTCGGATCCTTACAAGGCACCCCGACCTACGTCCACGATATCTCTGTCTCTTCCTCATGCGAATGACGGGGATTTGGGCCTTGTCGGGAGTCTGTATGATATCCTTCGTCGCCGCCTCGTTGAAGAAAAAATCTTCGTCCAATACGAGGTGAGTAATCGCTGTCCTGATATCCAGAAGCTCTTTTTGGTTATAAGAAACGATGGCAGAAACATTATGTACAAAATAAATTACAAATAACGCGGAAAAACACACATAATAGTACAATTGGTTAGAGGGCTGTAAAACGGCAGCCATCTTCTCCGGCGCTGTTCTCTCAAACTTAGGGTCGTTGTCCTGTTGGAAAGTGAACCTTCACCCCAGTCTAAGATCCTGAGTGATCTGGAGCAGGTTTTCATCAAGGATCTCTCTGTACTTTGCTCCCTTCATCTTTCCCTCGATCCTGACTAGTCTCCCAGTCCCTGCCGCTGAAAAACATCCCCACAGCATGATGCTGCCACCACCATGCTTCACCGTAGGGATGGTGCCAGGTTTCCTCCAGACGTGACGCTTGGCATTCCGGCCAAAGAATTCGATCTTGGTTTCATTAGACCAGAGAATCTTGTTTCTCATGGTCTGAGAGTCTTTAGGTGCCTTTTAGCAAACTCCAAGCGGGCTGTCATGTGCCTTTTACTGAGGAGTGGCTTCCGTCTGGCCACTCTACCATAAAGGCCTGATTGGTGGAGTGCTGCAGAGATGGTTGTCCTTCTGGAAGGTTCTCCAATCTCCACAGAGGAACTCTAGAGCTCTGTCAAAGTGACAATCGGGTTCTTGGCCACCTCCCTGACCAAGGCCCTTCTCCCCCAATTGCTCAGTGTGGCCCCACGGCCAGCTCTAGGAGAAGGTGACAGGGGGCAGGGAGGGACAAAAGTGTGTGAGGAATGGATCCATCATACACAAACTCATAGAGAGAGAGAAGCTAGGAGTAGAGTTGTACAAGTCTTCCTCCCACTGGTACTCTGTTGTTACTGCACCTACTGTACTGGCTGGTCTTCTTGTGGAATGGATCACTCTCTTCTCCTTCCACTAGACTGGTCAGAGAACATTAACAATAATACCATTTCATATTTTGCAGATCTGAAGGAACTGGATATACTACATGTAACTGCCAAAATAAAGGAAACACCAACATAAAGTGTAGGGCGTTGGGCCACCACGAGCCAGAACAGCTTCAATGCACCTTGGCACATATTCTATGTGTCTGGAATTCTATTGGAGGGATGTGACACCATTCTTCCTTGAGAAATTGTGTTTTGTTGATGTTGGTTGAAAACGCTGTCTCAGGCACCGTTCCAGAATCTTCAATTGTTCAATTGGGTTGAGATCTGGTGACTGAGACCGCCATGGCATATGGTTTACATAATTTTCTTATCAAACCATTCAGTGACCACTCGTGCCCTGTGGATGGGGGCATTGTCATCTATGGGGGCATTGCCATGGTAGCCAAAATAATGGACTGCCCAGCATTTTTATACATGACCCTAAGCATGATGGGATGTTAAGTGCTTAATTAACTCAGGAACCACACCTGTGTGGAAGCACCTGCTTTCAATAAACTTTGTATCCCTCATTTACTCAAGTGTTTCCATTATTTTGGCAGTTACCTGTACCCATCTGTATAGGATTACCTGTTATCAGATATACCATTCTCATCTCTCTCTCTCTCTCTAGGTGGACTGGGAGAGTAATGGAGGCCTGGTGAAGAAGCTCTCTTCCATTAAGGAGGATGAGGAGGGTGATGAAGAGCAGAGCTCTGTGTCGTGTGCCCCCCGTTCCCCTTTACGTCTGACCAGGGTTCTTAACTCGCCCCTGCGCTCCCCACTGCTGCCCCCTCAGCCCTTCCGCCCCCCCTCAGAACACACCCGCCCCGCCACCCTGCAGATACCTGTGGTCAGCTTCAGCAGCGCACCGCCGGAGCTTAGTCCCAGGTAGGAGAAACACACACAGACTCACTCCCACACACACACACACATAGACACACACAAATCATACGCCACAGTTTGTACACAGTTTTAACAAACTGGTTTAATCTCAGGCAGAGGATTTAATTGCTGTAATACATTAGACTTGTCTATTTCATGGTGTCTGGTAGAGGAACTGGAAATGAAGAGTACACAATTAACACTCAAGCCTCGATCCTCCAGTGCCTGTCAGGCTGCCATGGCAACTAACAGACGGTGCTATTGGGTCCCAGCAGAGGGAGTGTGGATTTCCCTCCACACCAGGCAGCAGGCTCAGTATGCAACAAGATCTCACGAAATTGTGAAATTGACTTCAGAATCCAGTGTTTGTCAAAACATTTTACAGGGATAAACGTCGGAGAGCGCTCCGAAACCGAGGCTAGCGGGTTCAATCCCTGTGCTAGGCACTCATTTTTAGTTTTTTAGTTTTAAGCCTATCCCAAACCTTAACCCTTACCTTAACCAGAGCCTACTTGATGGTAATAGCTCTCACCGTTGCCCCTAGTGGCCGGTATTGAAGGCGATTCCCGACCCCGAAGGATGTCGAATATTACTTTGGATCTTGAGTGACCTGGCTGCAGTGTGTGTGTGTGTGTGTGTGTGTGTGTGTTCAGCACACTGCGCAGCCCGCCTGCCAGCCCTGCGTGAGAAGCCCAACCCCGATGTGCTCGGTGGGGTGGCAGCTGTGTTGCTGTTTGAACACAACATCTGGTGCCAGAGGGAGAGAGAAGAGACCTCCTAGAGTAGAGAGGGGGAGAAATGGAAATAGGACAGGAGAAGGGATGAGGAAGACAGGGCTGAACATAGGCTGAAATCCTCCACTCCTCTCTGACAGCTGTTTTCCCCCTCTTTCTTTGTGTTTTATTCATCTTTATTCCCCTCTTTCTTTATCTCGCCCCTCACTCTCTCCCCCTCTGTCTCTCCCCCTCTCTCTCTTTCTCTCCCTCTAGGTTTGTGGATGATATTGAGACAGAGAGAAATGTGAACTCAACCCAGAAGTTTGAGTTTAGCTCCAGTCTTCTACACAGTGGTCCACCATCCCCAGGACTAGGTAATACAATCTTCTCTCCATCAGTCTGTTGCTGCTCTCTCTCCAACATGTACTTACCTCTCTGTGTGTGTGTGTGCGCGCACACGCGTGTAGGGATCCAGGAGCAGTCAGAGATCAAGCAGAGTGTCTCTAAGCTGAGTGACGAGGTGAGTGGTTCTAGTTGGTCAAGAACCATCACTGTTTTCAGGGAGTCCTAGATCCATAACATAAAAATAACTTGCCATGAATCTTAAAACATAATATATAGTAACATAATACGTAAAAACACTAATATTCCAGTGTCAGTCACACTCACGTATCTCTCGTCTGTGTCCACAGATGAGCAGTCTCTCCCAGCAAGTCTCTCAGCTCAGCCAGGAACTACAGGAAATGACCCGCCTGCTCCGACCCCTCCTCCTCGTGGCGCCTCAGCCAATCCTGACGGCCATGACGCCCATCCTGACTCCACCCCCCAGCAGTGCCAGCCAACCGTCCTCCAGGACACCTCTGGTGGTCCCACCTCCAGCCCCGCCTTGCTTCCCACAACCCCACCCCCAGCGACCGCAGTCCTGCTCACTATTGGACGTGGACAGTACTGACACAGGAAGGGTGGACCTGCCAGGTTGCCTCCTCCCCACCCCGCCTCCACAGAGGCCTCCAGCCCAGGCCCAGGCCCAGTCTCCAATCTCCCCAGGGAGATGTTCCAAGGACTTACTCAACTCCAACCCCCCTTCCCCTGGTACAGGAGACACAGAGGGGTCCATCCACCTCTCCAACGGTTCTAACCACTCCAACCTCTTAGTCTCTAGCAACGGGTTCTTCCCTGTCCAGGACCGTCCTCCCCTTGCCTCCCGCACCCCGTCCCCCAACCTCTCCTTCTCACTGTCTCTTGCCTCCTCACCCTCCTGCTCTCCCTGCCAGGGACCCCACCACTCTCGACCCGGCAGCCACAGTAGCCACAGCAGGGGCCTATTCCCCCCGCCCCCCTCCCAGGACACCCCGCCCCTGCCTTCCTCCCATTGCTCTGCTCCCCCGTCACTCACCTCCTCACCTGGAGACCATAGGCTGAGGGGGGTCAGCCCCTCCTTTTCCTCCTCCACTACCCTCATCCCGCCCACGTCCTGTCTTAACCCCTCGCCCTTCTTCCCGGGGCCGTTCACCCTGGACTCTCTGAGGGGGGAGACGCAGGGGGGTTCCAGGCTCGAGGCAGGACACCTGGAGCTTGAGATGCAGGAGTGGGGAGGGGAGAGGGGCGAGGGATGCTCCCAGATGATGGAACACATCAGCTACATCGACGAGGAAGGGTCAGCTCTGTGACAGAGAGGCAAATCACATACAAGAAGAAACAGCAGAAGAGTGAATGAAAAGGAGAAGAGGAGAAGAGAGGAGAAAATGTAGCCTGCTGGTCCAGAGAGCAACGTTGAACCTGTGATATGCACACAGACAGACATATAGACAAATGAACAGATAAACAGTTGAACACACAAACAGTGAGATGGTCATGGGCTAATACTAACTGTGGGTGGAAACCAATGGCATCACTGAAAAAGACCCCACCAGGACAGTAGCATGACACATAATCTAACGGTAGTCTGATCAGGCGATCTGGCCATGTTCTGGTCATGTTCTGGTCATGTTAAAGCTACACATCCTTCTCTATCTGTGGACGTTGCGATGTCATAAGTTAAATGTGCATCCCTATCCCTACTCCTCTCCTGATTCCATAGAGTGCATGTTGCCCTTGCCAGATTTTCCCAACCTACCACCCCTTCATGACATGACATAGGACTGGAAATGTAAACTCTTATTCAGTCTCTGTCATGTAGATTTAACATCATATTAACATATATTGCTTGGATATCAGCATGGCTGATTCAAATATGGAGTTTATTTACTTCATATTACTATTTAATATTCCTTCAGAGTTTCTCTTTAAATACATTGGGACATGTTTCTCTGCTACTTGTTATATGGAGGGTGATTTGTTACATTTGGATGCCACCCTTAGACTATCTCCACAAAGTACACACACACTTGCACTGTGGTCTTAAATATAATATGACACCCTCAGTGTCGATCCAGCATTCATAGTAAAGGCTACACACCATTGTTTCTCTCCCTCCAACAATATTCAACAATTCAAGACAATCAGTGAGCTTACAAGACACATGGAACCCACCAAAACATGAAGACAACGCTACTGTAGAGTAGATATTAAAGGGCAACTCCGCCACTTTTCAACATCATTTTCATTATCTCCAGCACAATACCAGTGTCAACATATGTGAAAAGGTTTTGTAGAAAAAAATATGAAGTTAAAAAGTTACATTTACATTTTACATTTTAGTCATTTAGCAGACGCTCTTATCCAGAGCGACTTACAGTTAGTGAATACATATTTTTTTTATATATACTGGCCCCCCGTGGGAATCGAACCCACAACCCTGGCGTTGCAAACGCCATGCTCTATCAACTGAGCTACATCCCTGCCGGCCATTCCCTCCCTTACCCTGGACGACGCTGGGCCAATTGTGCGCTGCCCATGAGTCTCCCGGTCGCGGCCGGCGGCGACAGAGCCTGGATTCGAACCAGGATCTCTAGTGGCACAGTTAGCACTGCGATGCAGTGCCTTAGACCACTGCGTCGTCAGGCTACCCGATGACTAGCCTGACGACTCACACTAAATTATTCCGCTGCTCTGTCATTCCCTACATACTTTAGTCTGAGACTGCCATCATTGAAGTTGTTGGTGGTGATGAGGGGCACGAGGGGTGTTGTACAAAACAAAGTAATCACTGATTGGATCGCCTCTAACCAATCAGAGTAGCAAAGCTGCTTTACCCACGTGTGTTCTGGCTCTGGTCCAACCCATTGGTTTCTTGACCAATCAGACAGCTCCGAATGTGTTTATAATCGGTTAAGGGTCGGGAAGGTACTCAGAGACAGACTTATTGCGTAGAAGAAACTAACGTCCGTGGGTGTGGCATATGGTTGGAGCAAGGAGTCTGGGTAGCCAGGAAACCCGATAATATCGTCAAAAGTTAAAAAACATTTTTAAAACTGTGATTTTCAAACACTATGAAAATTGCGGTGATGTGGGGAGCAAGAAAATACCCTCCCTTGGGCTAGAAATTCATTGCAGGTTTTGAATATCAGTTTTTTACTTTTAATCCTACCCTGTGATGTCACAGAGAAGCATTTTTAAAGGCCCTTTTTTCTTTTTAACCACAGAAATTTGCTGTTTTCACATATGTAGACACTTCCCACTGGGCACAGACATCATTTAAAAAAGAGTTTTTATTTACATTTGGTTGAGATGTCAGGTTAAAAGAAGAAAAAAAATCTAAATTCCCTTCTGTTGATGACTTTTTGTAAATCCAATCAGTTTCCACATTGATTCAACATCATCAGATTGATGTTTTTTTTATGATGTGGAAACAACCAGTTTTTGCCCAGTGGGTGGTTTGTTGCTGGAGATTATGAATATGAGGTTGAAAAGTGGCGGAATTGCCCTTTAAAAGTGAGATATAAGGGAGCGCACCAGTGTGCCAAAGACAGGCTAGGTTTAGGTTTTGGAGGCTATGCATAGTGGGGGATGAGGGGAATATAGGTCTGTGGTGGAAAAGCAGACTGCCAGATTGTACAGAGAAGAGAGTTCCCACATCAACCCAAGCTTTAGCCATCCAGCCATTCGTGCCTTCTCCTTCGAACACACACTGCTAGCCGTACATATCATATACCACATATCCATTATTTCATATATCATTCAGATGGGGAGCGGTTGTGATTTACAAGCCATTGACTATTCAATTATGTACACTGCACTTTTATTTTGAAAAGTAAGTTATTTATGTATTTATTTGTGTTGGTAAATTATATATTCTGTGCAATATCTTCTGTTGAAAATGCAGAGGAGTGTTCTGGCCCTTTTCCATCCATCACTAGTGGTTCAACCAGACACATCTCCGCTTCAGTTCAACAGCTTCATATCAAAGCCCACATGCACCAACACACACTATTGCCATGTCCTCAGCATCATCTGCAACCCATGGATAATTGTCAACCTCTGGATGACACAGACTTAATGCGGCTGCATGGAGGTGTGTGAGAGTAGTGGGAGGAGGGGGGACCCAAGGGGAGGGTTTTGGGGTGGGGGTGTTAAATGCATGTCACAGCTATCTGCATGAGGAATGTGCCTGCTTCAGAACTAAGGGAGAGGAAGGTGGGCTTATTGTGCTGCCAGAGGCTAGGGCAGGCTTCAGATGTATTTTATTATTAAATGTCACCAACTTTACCAGAAATACATGATACAAGAATAAACAAAGTGTTGTTTTATAAGATCCAGGCTTCTGTGATGCTTTGGATCCGAATCATTGTCTGGGATGATGTGACGTCCAGTGCCAGTGGGATCACTTCCTAAGCCATTTTAATATGTTGAACAACCATGGAAATGCACTTATAACCGGTGGACCTTTACTTGATGCATGTATTCAGTTATATTACACTTGTGACCAGTTTCTTTCACCTGTTCACATGCCTCACACTGACAATTAAGTGTAATCCACTTCCCTCCCCCTGGTGCCCATGGATATAAAAAAAAAAGACAGTACTCAATGACCAAGTCCATCTTTCAGGTCTGCATATATTTCAAATGGTAGCATTCATTTTATCAGAGCTTCTGTAAGAATGGAAATGTCAGGGAGAGGAAAGATCTAGAAGATTCTGTGGGGAACCAAATGGCTAAAGGTAAAGGACATTTAGCATTTTATCCTATTTTGTAGATCCATCTTAGTGCCTCCTGAAAGGTAACAGACTAGAGAGTGTCAGTCATACATAGTGACCCGCTATGGGCCGGTTTACCAGATACAGATTAAGGGCCCTATTCAAATCTGTATCGCTGAAGTGTTACAGATTGCGCTATTGAAATGTAAAGGTAATTTCCGGTTGAGCCGACACATGCAGCGTTTACTGTGAATGCAGGCTCTGCTAACGTGGGAACATTGCCTTGACATTTCAATCACGCTATAACACTGAACTTTCATGATACAGATTGAATAGAGCCCTAAATCTAGTACTAGATTTTAAAATTATGCTCAATGGAGATTCTCCATTGAAAGTGTTTTTAGTCCAGGACTAAATTTAATCTGGGTCCGTGAAATCAGCCCATATTTTTAGTCAACCTTCTAACTTTGTTCTATTGACCACAGAATCCTCCCATTGATATTCTGTTCACACCCTACTGTACAAGGAACCAGGGATCAGACACAGAAGAAAAAAAACAGAGGGGGAAAATTATAATCTAAAAAATATATTTATATGTTTATATTTATATATATTTACGAGGTATGTATCCACAAAAAAAAGAAAACACAAAAAAGTACAAATTGAGCAGTCTTTTTCCAAACGCATCCTCTCTCGTGACATAAAGCCCTCTTTAAAATAACAATAATAATAATAGTAATATCAATAATGAATAATTAATTAGCTAAATAAATCCAGGAGGAAGCGATGCTCCCACAACCCTGCCCTCTTCGTCAGAGCCTTTAGTCCAGCTCTCCGTCCCACTCTGAGACGTCTTTATGTTCAGTCTCCTCGTTAGGGAGTCCAAAAGCACCAAAGCCTCCTGGCCACATGGTGGCACTGTGCTGCACTGGCTGGCTACTGTACTGCACGCAACTAATCCTTCTTCATTCACATAAAGTCCCAGAAACAAAATAAAAATCTTCATCTATCTTTGCGTAAAAAAAAAAGAAGGCAAAAACCTTTGAATGAACCCCCCCCTCCCCTCCAGTAACCGTTGCTATGCAGAAATCGCTAGTTTCCCGGTTTCCCGTCCAACCTTGTCTCTGGGTGGGATGGGGGTCGGGGGGGGGGGGATGGGGTGGAACAAAACTAAAACTGAAGATTAAACGGAAGGAGAAGAAAACAAAACAATGGCAGCAGGCAGGCAGGTTTCCTCCTGGCAGGCCATTGGATTGTTAGTTGTGTTATTAGGGGCAACGACGTCTGAGACTGCTCCCGTGGGGTCACGCCAGATACTGCTGCATCGCCGTCTTCGCCCTGAGAGAAAGAGAGAGAGTCAGTATCCTACAACAAGCGTCTGTCTGATGGAGAGAAACTGAAGGAAAGCGTGTGTGTCTGTCTCACCTGTCACAGAGGTTGGGGTCTGAGGCCTGGGTGAGTTTGTGCAGGATGTCTACAAATCCCAACTCCCTCAGCTTGTCCTGACGCTCCTGGGAACCTGAGAACAGAGAGAGACACCGACGTAGGAAGGTTAACGAGGATGATGTTGGAGCAGAGACCAAGTCCAACAGTGTTGACTCAAATCACAGATGAAAACCATTGATGTAGTGGAGCATAAACGGATTACGTTGCCGTAAAGCATAACGTTGCAGAATTTGATTAACTTTATCCAAACATTATACCACTACATCCATGAAACTACCACTAGCCCTAGCTAACACTAACAGTTTGTACATCTGTTCCCAGTTTCCACCCTTCCCCGCAGTCCCCCCCAGCATGTGACAACCTGTCATGGCGTTGGCCTCACCGTCCTCCTCGTTCCAGATCAGGTTGGAGATACAGAAGGTGGCCGCCAGCTGGAGCTTGACATTAGAGTGAGCCTGAGAGGACATCGCAGAGAAACGTCCTCAATATTTGCTTAAGATGTGTCAACAATATATGCAAAGAGACAGTCAAACTTGTTCTAAATAAACATGATCACACATGGATATAGGCAAATATGAAGGTTGACAACAGAGAGTTAATTGAACCTCTTTTTAGCCTGATCAGTAATCAATAATTAAGTATAGCTACAGTGGCTCATGGAGGGAAGAGACTACCATGTAATATTTGATTTTCTGGAGGATGTCATCATTGGTCATGATGAGTTCCTTGGCTGTGTTTCCGTCAGCGATGTTGGCTAGGATACAGAGTGTCTGAAACAAAGAGAGCAGCTCTATCCTGAACTGTTCCTCATGACAAAGTAGGGTTGCAAAACTGCTAACTGTTCAGAAATTCCTAGGTTTTCCAGAATCCAGAAATAAGCAAGGAGGGACTACTCTAACTGGAAAACCTGGGAATTTGGGGTTAAGTGTATGGAATATTGCAACCCTACGTCAAAGTGTTAATGGAATAGTAAGCTAGGGGGTCATACATTTTACATTTTCATCATTTAGCAGACGCTCTTATCCAGAGCGACTTACAGTTAGTGAGTGCATACATCTTTCATACTTTTTTCATACCTGTTCCTTGACCTCGATGCTGTGTTCTCCCTCCAGGATCAGAGTGACCGCCTGCATGATCTGCTTCCCATGGGAACTCATGACCTGGTCTATGTGCTGGGAGACAGAAGGGAGAGGAGGTGGTCAGAGAAAGAGACAGATAGAGAGGGAGAGAGTATGAAAAGGCGAGATAATGTGTGTGTGAGTGAGATTTATTAGATTATTGAAAAGCAGTGTGTCTGTCTCTCTGACGACTGCAGTATCGAAAGTGAAATACAAAACCTGATCAAACAAGCCTCTGCCTCCTTTGGTAGGCTCAGGAGAAGGGTCTTCCAGAACAAAGACCTCAACCTTCACACAAAAATATCTGTTTACCAGGCAGTAGTCATTACAACTCTCCTCTACAGCTGCGAGACATGGACCATCTACACTCGCCACATCAGAATGCTGGAGGCCTTTCACATCAGGTGCCTCTAGTGCACCCTGTGGATAAGCTTGCGTGACCGGGTGCCCTGTATGGCCAGCTCTGCAGGGGTCAGGAGAGGCACTACAAAGACCAACTGTAGACCACAATGGAAAAGTGCAGCCTTAACTCTACCCAGCTGGAGGACACTACCGCTGAACGCTCCATCTGGTGCCATCTCTACCAGCAAGAAGTGCAGAAGCTTGAGAAGGACAGGAACGGGCTACAGAGAAAAAAAGTGTCTCAAGAGACATGAAGCCAGGAATGCACCTGGACCCCCAATCGGAGACTTTACATGCCCTGTCTGCAACAGACGATGTGGGTCAGGGATTCGACTTGTCACACAAAGTCTACCTTAAGTGTGTGTGTGTGTGTGTGTGTGTGTGTGTGTGTGTGTCTGTCTCTGTGCCAGTCTTACGGGTCGTGTGGAGAGCAGGTTCCGTAGCAGGCCCAGGGTCTTCATCAGGACGTTAGAGTCAGGGTCAGAAAGCAGACGGAAGAGCTGCTCCGTCCCCAACGCTCTCACAATCTCCCCCTTCACCTTCTGGTCCGCCTGGAACGCCATGTTCTACACACACAATCAAGATGGTGTAGGTTAGACAGACACCTTCTAGGTAGGGTTGAAAATTACAGAAACTTTACCAAAGTTTCAGTTGGAAGATTCTCAGTTGAAGGGTTGCCTCCCTGATAACGCTCCACTGATTGAGAATCCTCTAACCAGAATTTCAGAAAAACCTGGGAACTTCGGTTTTGCAACCCTATTCTAGAGGTAGAGAGGGAGAGCAGAGCAAATCAGTAAAGTGGTGACTCACCATGAGAGCCCAGATGCCGTTGACCCTCAGGGCTGGACTGTCACTCTGGGTCAGACTGCATAGTAACTCTATCACCCCTGACTCCAGGATGGGCTGCACACATACACAAAACACATGCACTTACTCCCACTGGTCATGCTAAATTGCAGGTTAACAACCTGACAGCTAATATTTAGTCCTAAAACATCATGCAAAAAATTATCACAACTTTACTGAGCTGTGTTTGTCTACCAATCATGAAGTTCGCTAAGTAGCAGTAGTAGTGTTGTATTGCTAGCTAGGTAGTAGTGTTGTATTGCTAGCTAGGTAGCAGTAGTAGTGTTGTATTGCTAGCTAGGTAGCACTAGTAGTGTTGTATTGTTAGCTAGGTAGCAGTAGTAGTGTTGTATTGCTAGCTAGGTAGCAGTAGTAGTGTTGTATTGCTTGCTAGGTAGCAGTAGTAGTGTTGTATTGCTTGCTAGGTAGCAGTAGTAGTGTTGTATTGCTAGCTAGGTAGCAGTAGTAGTGTTGTATTGCTAGCTAGGTAGCAGTAGTAGTGTTGTATTGCTAGCCAGGTAGCAGTAGTAGTGTTGTATTGCTAGCTAGGTAGCAGTAGTAGTGTTGTTGCTGCTAGTAGCAGTATAGTGTTTTTGCTTGCTAGGTAGCAGTAGTAGTGTTGTATTGCTAGCTATGGTTAGCAGTAGTGTGTTGTTGCTAGCTAGGTAGCAGTAGTAGTGTGTATTGCTAGCTAGGTAGCAGTAGTAGTGTTGTATTGCTAGCTAGGTAGCAGTAGTAGTGTTGTATTGCTAGCTAGGTAGCAGTAGTAGTGTTGTATTGCTAGCTAGGTAGCATAGTAGTGTTGTATTGCTAGCTAGGTAGCAGTAGTAGTGTTGTATTGCTAGCTAGGTAGCAGTAGTAGTGTTGTATTGCTAGCTAGGTAGCAGTAGTAGTGTTGTATTGCTGCTAGGTAGCAGTAGTAGTGTTGTATTGCTTGCTAGGTAGCAGTAGTAGTGTTGTATTGCTTGCTAGGTAGCAGTAGTAGTAGTGTTGTATTGCTAGCTAGGTAGCAGTAGTAGTGTTGTATTGCTAGCTAGGTAGCAGTAGTAGTGTTGTATTGCTAGCTAGGTAGCAGTAGTAGTGTTGTATTGCTAGCTAGGTAGCAGTAGTAGTGTTGTATTGCTAGCTAGGTAGCAGTAGTAGTGTTGTATTGCTAGCTAGGTAGCAGTAGTAGTGTTGTATTGCTAGCTAGGTAGCAGTAGTAGTGTTGTATTGCTAGCTAGGTAGCAGTAGTAGTGTTGTATTGCTAGCTAGGTAGCAGTAGTAGTGTTGTATTGCTAGCTAGGTAGCAGTAGTAGTGTTGTATTGCTAGCTAGGTAGCAGTAGTAGTGTTGTATTGCTAGCTAGGTAGCAGTAGTAGTGTTGTATTGCTAGCTAGGTAGCAGTAGTAGTGTTGTATTGCTAGCTAGGTAGCAGTAGTAGTGTTGAATTGCTAGCTAGGTAGCAGTAGTAGTAGTGCATTGCTGTCTGCTGGTCTCACCTCTTTGCTGGGGGAAAACTCCAGTAGCAGGTTGCATAGTGTAGAAGAGGCCATGACCAACACCTCGTCTGGAGCGTTCTGTAACAACTATACACAGCAGAGAAGAGACATACAGTCTCATTATGAAGGCCATGTACTTTTCATCAGTAGACAACATGTATGGTAAGTAATATTGTATGTGAGAAAGAGACCCCATGGTACAGACCTTCATAAGGGGCTTCCATACTGCGTGGTCATGAAAACTAGTCCTCAACTGCTGGACTGACCGGGACAGACTGTGAAGACACCTGGACACAGAGGAAGAGTCAATATCACAACAGGCACACACTGCTACCATTTGAGAGTAAGATATCTTAGGTGCAAGGAAATCTTCTTAGGCTAAGAAGGGAACAGAATATGACAGGACACTCAGCATGTCACAGCACCCTCAGTGGAGAGCAGAGTGGAGAGGTAGGGATGTTATCCGTACCTGACTGCAGCTAGCCGCACCTTGACGCTGGATTCTGACAAGCCACTCACTATCCTGTCCATCATGTTCTCTGTCTCTGTGATCTGAGGAGGAGAGAGACAGCGGGGGGCTGTTAGGAGGAGGACACGGAAACACATGCACTTACTCCCACTGGTCATGCTAAATTACAGGTTAACAACCTGACAGCTAATATTTAGTCCTAAAGCATCATGCAAAAAATAATCACAACACACTTCTAAACGTGGCGGGGAAGGAGTGTGTGTGTGTACTGTTGAGTGAAAGCCACCTTCTTGCGGATATCTTCGTCGTTGGAGCCCAGTGAGGCGTACAGCTTGAAGGCAGCTTGTCTCAGCTCATGAGCATGCTTCAGGTCGTGATCCAACTGCAGAAAAAGACAATTCAATATTTGGTGAGAGGTAAGAGAGTTAGAGGTTTTTGTCCAAAGTAAGGACTGTGGTGTTCTTTTCTCACCACAGTGTCAGGGTTTTCCTGATGGTAACTGTTTTCTCTGCCTTTTAAGACTGCCTGGCTAGATTCAATGAGTATAGTCCAGTCTCTCACCCTCTTGATGTCAGTGATGGCGCTGACAGAGCTGGGGTATTTGAAGTAGTCAGCCAGCATGGCCACTAGGTGGTCGGTTACACTGGCGATCCTCTGCAGCTCCACATCAGGCTCCATCAGGTAGGCCAGGGTCTCTGCCCCCTCCACACGCTCCTCCAACAGACGCTCCTTACTGCACATCCTCACCAGGCACGGCAGGGTCTACACAAGGATGGAACAAGAATTATACACACACACACACACACACAGAGAGGCAGGGAAGACCCTACACACAACAGCAGGCTAGACTCAACACACACATACCAGTAGCAGACTGTAAGATGAGTGCAAAAGATACGCAAAATAGTATAATCACCTTTAAAACAATGCAGCTATCATCTGTCCTGATGGCTCCCGCTCGACACATGTATGTTAGACTGGGGGGGAGAGAAGGAGGGAGAGGGGGAAAGAAAGATTTCATCTTCCGAAACTAAAACACTTGAGATTATTACTTTAATAGTCCGCGGAAAAACATATACTTTGACAGCAGTTACTTCAACACTGTCAATGGAAGCGCACTTATTTTAATAGTCAAGTGAAGGAAACACTCACTCACCACTTGGCTGCTGTGAGCTGCATGTCAATGGGCTGATCCCTTTGCATCATTCTGACAAATACCTGAGAGAGCAGCTCCTCATCCACCAGCACTGAGAGCAGAACAGAGAGGAGAACATTGATTTTCATAGTAGCTTCATAATACAATGTTATCACCATCTGACAACCTTTTGCTACCATGATGATAACAATATAATGGCAAGAATAGAATGCCTCTGAAACAGACTAAAGAATATAGCTGGAAACTGTCCCAGTCAGGTCCCAGAGCAGCAGCGAGAGAGATAGCGAGCGAGTGAAAGAGTCAGACACAGGCAAAGAGAGGGAGGATGAGAGAGAGAGACATAAATAGAAGAGGGAAAAAGCCCCTCACCATTCACCAGTGTCATGGAGACCTGAGTGTTCTCGTAGGCCAGGACCGAGAAGCATTTTAATGCCTGCATCCGTACCTGTATGGGATGAGAGAGAAAAAGAAAGAAAGAAAAGAGTGAGAGAGATGGTAAGACATGGTAATACAGAGGTCTGAGAGATGGTAGAACTGAGATATGGGTGAGTAATAGTTTCAAACAGTACCTTATAGGAGGGAGAGATGAGCATGGGAGCGATGTTCTGGATGGCCCCGTGGTTAAACAGAACCGTCTGGTGCTCTGGAGTCTACAGAACACACGCACACACTCCTGAATAATTCCTCAGACAGACTTTTTTTAAATGATAGTTTATCTGATGATTGACCTTTAACCTGTAGTGTCTTTGGTCTTTTATTACAATACTGTGACTCTTTCTGTAATGTGAAGTGTTTTAAATGTGTGCTGATGTACTGACCTTGCAGCAGTGGGAGAAGATCTGGGTGATGTACTCCTGTGTCCGCTGTGACCGACTCAGCAGGGACATGAGGTGGGGGATCACAGTTGGGTCCTGATAGGGTGTAACACACACAATGTTACTGTACACACTCACAGAAACACACCCCAGTTAGACAACACATCACTAAGAATAGTGATAGCATGTTACACCATATCGATGGTATGCGTGTATGGGGGGGGGGGGGGGGCGAAGAGAGAGAAAGACAGAAGAGCGAGAGAGACTTACAGTGTAGAGCAACTGCACTGGGGTGACTGGACTGATGAAGACTGTCCTGAGGCAGCGTAGACAAGCCTCGATGAAGATCAGATCTGAACATAGGAGACCTGCAGGCACACACACTTGTTATGAGAGAGAATGAGTATGTGTTTCATCAGTCAGAGTGTTGGTTCTGTCAGTGAGTATGACTGAAAGATTGTAACACTGCTCAGTGCGTCACTCTTAGTGTGACTGAGTGAGTGATTGTGTATGTATCTGTCTGTCTGTGTTATGCATATATATACCTTGTAGTAGGGCAGGGATGATGTGACAATCCACCAGGGACTTGATGTTGTTCTCAGTGCCCATGGCCAGACTGCCCAGCACCACCGCACACTCTGCCCTCAGCTCTGAGCTGGACGAGCCCTGCTGGAGCAGATACAGTAACCTGGGGGGAGAGACACACAGTCACTGCTGCCGTACAATTGGGCTTGGAGATTGGGTTGAGGGTAGGGGAGAGAGGGAGAGAGGGGAGCGAGAGCAAGTGGGGAAAAGGAAAAGAGGGAAAAGGGAAGATGGGAAAGAGGTGAGAGGGAGAGAGACACCTGGGCACAGCTCCCAGGACAATCAGGTTGGCTTTCTGTTTGTTGTTTCCGATGACAGCATTCTTCATGTCACTGTGAACACACACACAGGGTCAGAGTCAGATGTGTGGAGCTCCCTCAGCATGTTACCAACAGCCACCATAACAACAACACTTGACAGGAGTTCAACTACAGTATCAATCATATCACCTACGCTACCTACAGTGGGGAGAACAAGTATTTGATACACTGTCGATTTTGCAGGTTTTCCTACTTACAAAGCATGTAGAGGTCTGTAATTTTTATCATAGGTACACTTCAACTGTGAGAGATGGAATCTAAAACAAAACTCCAGAAAATCACATTGTATGATTTTTAAGTAATTAATTTGCATTTTATTGCATGACATAAGTATTTGATCACCTCTCACAGACCTGTTAGTTTTTCTTTAAGAAGCACTCCTGTTCTCCACTCATTACCTGTATTAACTGCACCTGTTTGAACTCGTTACCTGTATAAAAGACGCCTGTCCACACACTCAAACAGACTCCAACCTCTCCACAATGGCCAAGACCAGAGAGCTGTGTAAGGACATCAGGGATACAATTGTAGACCTGTACAGGGCTGGGATGGGCTACAGGACAATAGGCAAGCAGCTTGGTGAGAAGGCAACAACTGTTGGCGCAATTATTAGAAAATGGAAGAAGTTCAAGATGACGGTCAATCACCCTCGGTCTGGGGCTCCATGCAAGATCTCACCTCATGGGGCATCAATGATCATGAGGAAGGTGAGGGATCAGCCCAGAACTACATGGCAGGACCTGGTCAATGACCTGAAGAGAGCTGGGACCACAGTCTCAAAGAAAACCATTAGTAACACACTATGCCGTCATGGATTAAAATCCTTGCAGCGCACGCAAGGTCCCCCTGCTCAAGCCAGCGCATGTCCAGGCCCGTCTGAAGTTTGCCAATGACCATCTGGATGATCCAGAGGAGGAATGGGAGAAGGTCATGTGGTCTGATGAGACAAAAATAGAGCTTTTTGGTCTAAACTCCACTCGCCATGTTTGGAGGAAGAAGAAGGATGAGTACAACCCCAAGAACACCATCCCAACCGTGAAGCATGGAGGTGGAAACATCATTCTTTGGGGATGCTTTTCTGCAAAGGGGACAGGACGACTGCACCGTATTGAGGGGTGGATGGATGGGGCCATGTATTGCGAGATCTTGGCCAACAACCTCCTTCCCTCAGTAAGAGCATTGAAGACGGGTCGTGGCTGGGTCTTCCAGCAGACAATGACCCAAAACACACAGCCAGGGCAACTAAGGAGTGGCTCCGTAAGAAGCATCTCAAGGTCCTGGAGTGGCCTAGCCAGTCTCCAGACCTGAACCCAATAGAAAATCTTTGGAGGGAGCTGAAAGTCCGTATTGCCCAGCGACAGCCCCGAAACCTGAAGGATCTGGAGAAGGTCTGTATGGAGGAGTGGGCCAAAATCCCTGCTGCAGTGTGTGCAAACCTGGTCAAGACCTACAGGAAACGTATGATCTCTGTAATTGCAAACAAAGGTTTCTGTACCAAATATTAAGTTCTGCTTTTCTGATGTATCAAATACTTATTTCATGCAATAAAATGCAAATTAATTACTTAAAAATCATACAATGTGATTTTCTGGATTTTTGTTTTAGATTCCGTCTCTCACAGTTGAAGTGTACCTATGATAAAAATTACAGACCTCTACATGCTTTGTAAGTAGGAAAACCTGCAAAATCGGCAGTGTATCAAATACTTGTTCTCCCCACTGTATCACCACACAAGTCTAAACACTAATGCTAACAGCCACAGGCTCAACTGAGAAACATCAGTGCTGTTCAAGCTTGTTAACTTGTTGCTTTGAGAGGATAGAATTCTGAACATCACACACAACATATATAAGCCAATAATAACATATATAAAGTTATCCAGAGTACAGAATTCTAACTGTGGTTGGCCAACTGCTTAGATGTAATGCATGCGACATAAAGATACAAGTAGCAGGCAGAGGCCAGTGGAAAAGTACAGCTGCAACAGTCAGGTAAGAAGTGACTCGGCTAGCCATCTAAAACCGTAACCAGAGCTGGGCCTCAGAGTTAAAAATAAAGATGAAAAGATGCCTGAGTCCAAGCCTCGCTGAGGCTCTCACTCACACTGCCCAGTGAAACACACTCTCCCTCAGTCACACACACACCAGCAGAGACCTGGCATACCACACAGCATGAATCACACTGACTGATCAGATAAACACACACACACCACTGACACATGTAAACAAAGTGGTCCAAGCAGCTCACACTGAGCATGCTCACATCGCACCTCAAACAAATCAATCACTGACAGACAGCTCCCTCCAGAGCACCAAGAACTGCCTGCTCCACAGGCATACAGATACCAGACTCACACAAGGACAGACAGAGGCCTAAATGGCACCCTATTTCCCATAAGGCTCTGGTTAAAAGTAGTGCACCATGTAGGGGATAGGGTGCCATTTGGGACAGAAACAAAGATGGACAGACAGGTAAAATATATATTTCCCTATAGAAAGTCATAGGCTACTACAACACAAGGTAATGTACTTATAATGTACTTACATGACTCCCTGCAGCACTTTCTGCGGGTCGGGGTCAAAAAGCCTGTCAACATAATGGCGACTGGTGGCCGTGACCTCCTGCATGGTGACAAGAGACAGAACAACAATGAGTCAGCGCAGGCCTCGCGCATCATCCCACTGCTGACACCAACCACACACTCAGCAGACAGACACTGGCCTGGGCCAGACAGATACTCCATCCCAGAAAAGCCCCTCCTAACTATATGACTGGTCAACAGGCAGTAGGCTACTCTCGTCAAGCTGTAAACTCATCCAGGGCACGAGATGGTCGTATGTCACTTGATAACTTTGTTTATGTTTATCATTGAGGGACCGTCCAGAACTTTCCCCACTACTCACTATGTAATAGGTCACTGATGAGCAAAGAGGCACTGCTCTACTATAGCTCTCTCTAAAGGGGATTTGCAGTGACGTGTATTCCATGTGAATCATACCAAATCCGTCATGAGTCAGTAAGTGATCTGAAACAAAGTTCTTTAACAATTAAAGTAGATTACAAATACAGTAGTCCAGGTGCAGTTATGGGTGCATCATCACATTTCAGGTGGGTAAACTGTAAACTTTAGACAATATGATGACACATTTGGTAAATTTAGTTTAACCTAGCTCTGGTTTTGGCCATTTCCTTACAGGTCCTGTAAAATAAGAAAAACGTATCTGTTGACAGACTAACAGGTGGCAAATGAACACATTCTGTTGAAGAGCTGTATAGCTTGCCATGTATTCATGGCACCTTTATGTATTTCCTCCAAAACCCCGTGATATGGTCAATGACACTGACAGCAGCATATGGGGGCGTTTCCAGTATGATAACTTGAAACTGTACTTGAAGCTATCTTGCTAACGTTAGCTTTATAGCTAACTGTTGAAACATAAGTAAAAATGATAACGTTACGGTCTTAAAAACTTGAAATTCGATTCTCGATCTTGACATAGCTAACTAGCAGTCTGCCCAAAACTGACTCAGAGATAACTACCCTGCGAACTAACTAGTTACTGTATATCATGCTACCTAACTAACAGAGTAAGTAAGGTTATAGACAGCTAGACAACTAGGTAGCTAATTCGCGGTTGGTTCCAGCTAGCATAACCGTATTTGATTGCACCGTCACTGTGCAATAAAGTTGTTAAATGTTTGCGGGTTTTCATTATAATTGGATTCACGTAAATGTATGTCACCGGTTACTAGTTAGCTAGCTAAGACATTTCAGGTGAACGTCGGGAGACCGCCCTTGTTACTACAGTAGCTAACGTTAGCTAGCTAAATGTTGCAAAGCCTGAGTTAGCATAGCTAGCTAGCAACTTCAGTGCATGCCCTCAACCCACATTAATAGCTTGATGCAACACATAAAAAGCGTTTCACTATCCAATACAGTTAGGAAGAATGTAGTGCATAGCAAAAAGTCAGTCTTTATTTCATAGTATAAGAGACTCACAGATAGCACGCTGATGCGGAGAGGGGCCTCCAACAAGCACGCCATCTCTCTTCCCCCTGTCGAGCGCCCCAGTCGGAGCAGCACTTTCCAAACACTCTGCCCTCCAGACCAGCTGCTCAGATTAAAAAGTAAATATAGCTAAATCACGCAACACTTTAGAAGCACTTAGTATTTCATGGGTTAGGTGGAGTTAGTCGGGTGTATTTGGTCTGTTTAAGCCACAGATAACGTTTCCTGTGATAATGAAACTATTGTTTATAGTTGCACACTGGCTACATTGCTCGAATGTCAATTTGTGAATCAAGTCAATCAAGTACATTTTGGTTCTAAACGCGTAGATAATTTGAAATTGAAGTTTGGGTGATTCGACAAAAATATGATTATTATAAGCATGTATGTGCATATACAAATGCATAGACAAGTGCATATACAAAAAAGTGGTGGTAGTCAGAATTACAACGGTTCGGGATAATGTACGGATGTTTGACTATTTTTAGTAAATTATTTTGATTGTGGAAAGTGCAACCTATGACTCCATCACTCGATTTACTTTGGTAGATGTGGTGTGCGCATGCGCTCTGGTCAAACTAGGCTGAGGTGGGAAAACACGATCGATTCATACATTTTAGTTGAGATGAACAGAACAAACCAACATAATCGTAATCACGTTACCTCGTAAATGAAAATTGCAAAAGGTGAGAAAAAATGTAACACGTTTGATTTGACCAGTGATTGCATGTCTCTTAGCCAGGACAAGGCTACAACCTGTCTACAACCCCAGAGAGAGTTAACAGCAGATCTCTAGAGCTAGCAACAAACAACCAACACAAATGATTGAGCTAATATGCTAACTTTTATTATATAGTATTCTATAGTTGTCTTCCTCATCATATAATTAATGTATCTCCCTCGACCTACAGTGAGGGAAAAAAGTATTTGATCCCCTGCTGATTTTGTACGTTTGCCCATTGACAAAGAAATGATCAGTTTATAATTTTAATGGTAGGTTTATTTGAACAGTGAGAGACAGAATAACAACAAAAAAATCCTGAAAAACGCATGTCAAAAATGTTATTAATTGATTTGCATTTTAATGAGGGAAATCAGTATTTGACCCCCTCTCAATCAGAAAGATTTCTGGCTCCCAGGTGTCTTTTATACAGGTAACGAGCTGAGATTAGGAGCATACTCTTAAAGGGAGTACTCCTAATCTCAGTTTGTTACCTGTATAAAAGACACCTGTTCACAGAAGCAATTAATCAATCCGATTCCAAACTGTCCAACATGGCCAAGACCAAAGAGCTCTCCAAGGATGTCAGGGACAAGATTGTAGACATACACAAGGCTGGAATGGGCTACAAGACCATCGCCAAACAGCTTGGTGAGAAGGTGACAACAGTGGGTGCGATTATTCGCAAATGGAAGAAACACAAAATAACTGTCAATCTCCCTCGGCCTGGGGCTCCATGCAAGGTCTCACCTCGTGGAGTTGCAATGATCATGGGAACGGTGAGGAATCAGCCCAGAACTACACAGGAGGATCTTGTCAATGGTCTCAAGGCAGCTGGGACCATAGTCACCAAGAAAACAATTGGTAACACACTACGCCGTGAAGGACTGAAATCCTGCAGCGCCCGCAAGGTCCCCCTGCTCAAGAAAGCACATATACAGGGCCGTCTGAAGTTTGCCAATGAACATCTGAATGATTCAGAGGAGAACTGCGTGAAAGTGTTGTGGTCAGATGAGATCAAAATCGAGCTCTTTGGCATCTACTCAACTCGCCGTGTTTGGAGGAGGAGGAATGCTGCCTATGACCCCAAGAACACATCCCCACCGTCAAACATGGAGGTGGAAACATTATGCTTTGGGGTTGTTTTTCTGCTAAGGGGACAGGACAACTTCACCGCATCAAAGGGACGATGGACGGGGCCATGTACCGTCAAATCTTGGGTGAGAACCTCCTTCCCTCAGCCAGGGCATTGAAAATGGGTCGTGGATGGGTATTCCAGCATGACAATGACCCAAAACACACAGCCAAGGCAACAAATTAGTGGCTCAAGAAGAAGCACATTAAGGTCCTGGAGTGGCCTAGCCAGTCTCCAGACCTTAATCCCATAGAAAATCTGTGGAGGTAGCTGAAGGTTCGAGTTGCCAAACGTCAGCCTTGAAACCTTAATGACTTGGAGAAGAGTGGAACAAAATACCTCCTGAGATGTGTGCAAACCTGGTGGCCAACTACAAGAAACGTCTGACCTCTGTGATTGCCAACAAGGGTTTTGCCACCAAGTACTAAGTCATATTTTGCAGAGGGGTCAAATACTTATTTCCCTCATTAAAATGTAAAATCAATTTATAACATTTTTGACATGCGTTTTTCTGGATTTTTTTGTTGTTATTCTGTCTCTCACTGTTCAGATAAACCTACCATTAAAATTATAGACTGATAATTTCTTTGTCAGTGGGCAAATGTACAAAATCAGCAGGGGATCAAATACTTTTTTCCCTCACTGTAGCTCGTTCTGCAAACCAATCTACTACTGTAGCTACAGTATATCAGAAGGTACATAGAAGGGCAGCTTCTGTAATCTGGAGTGGCTAGCTAACACAGCTCAGCGAACAAAAAGAAGCCCCTTAGGGGAGTCTACAGCCAATCATCAGCCATGAAGATAGCTGTGGAAGGGTGTTGCCATGGCGAGCTGGATAAGATCTATGAGACAATAGGCTATCTGGAGCAGAAGGAAGGGGTGAAGGTAGACCTGCTGCTGTGTTGTGGAGACTTCCAGGCTGTGAGGAACGAGGGGGACATGAAGTGCATGGCTGTGCCGCAAAAGTACAGGCAGATGCAGACCTTCTACAAGTTAGTTCCTTCCTATCACCTCATCTCTGCTCCCTCTCTGTCTCTCCTATGTAGGTCCAGGAGTTTTTCCTGACCCACACATGAACTGATCCTGGATAAACTCTGGAACCTACCTTACCCTGAGAGATGGCTGTTGACCTCTATGGCTTTAGACGCCATAGGAATCAACAGCCATGTGGGTTAAACACAACCCTGTCAGTACTACTTATGGTTCCTTTAGTTTAAGGGACAGTCTGTTGTATTTCTGATGTTTGTGTCTTGGTTGTTGCAGGTACTACTCTGGAGAGAAGAAGGCTCCGGTCCTGACCATCTTCATCGGGGTGAATCATGAGGCCTCCAACCACCTCCAGGAGCTACCGTACGGGGGATGGGTGGCTCCCAACATTTACTACATGGGTAACTCTGGATACAAAGTTAACACGCATATTACAAGTTCCACAGATTGACATCTCAAGGCCACCTGCCCATCAGGAAATTCAGGAGCAGTTTTCACTTGCTTGAAAATGTTATTGTTCATCTAATAATAACAGTGTATGTGGTGTTCCATCAGGTTATGATGGCATTGTGTGCTACAAAGGAGTAAGGATTGGCGGCTTGTCTGGAATCTTCAAAGGGCATGATTACAGGAAAGGTGAGGTCAAAAAGCACTAGTAGATATATCCTCCTGTCCCTGCAAATGCGTTGCAGCCCAACCATCTTTAACATTGAATCAATGTCCTTCCTTAAAGGGCATTACGAGTTCCCTCCATATAACCCAGACACTCTACGCAGTGTTTACCACATCAGGAACATCGATGTCTTCAAACTCAAACAGGTGACTACCACTTACAAGGTTAATATATCATTATGTCCCCCCCCCATTATATCATATATGTCATCATGCCTCCCCTATTTTGCCACTAGATCCAGATGACTGTGGATGTCTTCCTGACCCATGACTGGCCTCGTGGGATCTACCATTATGGCAGCACGGGGGAGCTGCTGAGGAAGAAGAAGTTCCTGAGACAGGAGGTGGGTCCAACACACTGGGTAGTCCTGCAGCTGCAGAGCTCCTGGCCCATCTGCAGCCTAACTACTGGTTCTCTGCACACCTCCATGTCAAGTTTGCTGCCCTTATGCAGCACCCGGTGAGCTGAACTGACTATGGTTATGTAGAGACTGCTGTGGATATTCAGAGATGTGATTATTTCTGTTTAATCAGAATTACGATTCTTTATCCTGATTGTCATTGTTGTGTTGCTAGGTCACGGAACTGATATTTCCTATGCAGCACTGGTTATATTGCTGCTCTGTTTTTCCCTACAGGCCAAAGATGATGCTGCCGCCCGCACTACCAAATTCCTCTCACTGGATAAGTGCCTCCCCTACAGGGACTTCCTACAGGTGAGAGAGAGAGAGAAGATGATGACACGTGGCATGGATGGCAAGTGATTATGGTCTAGTTTCATAGATTCAGATTAAACTTTCTCCTGAATTTATGGAGAATCTGTTCATCTTGGTCTGTGAAACAGCTTGCTTGAAAGTCCTGTTTTGTGCTAGTAAGGGCTATAGGTGTGTTCTCTATGGTGCATGTCTGAGTTGATGCTGACTTGTAGGGTGTGTGTTTCAGATCGTAGAGGTAGCAGACAGAACTGGATCGTCCCAGGGTCTGGAGTATGATCCAGAGTGGCTGGCCATCCTGAAGGCTACAGACAGCCTGCTGACTGTCAGCCCTAACTACTGGAACCCTCCACAGAACAACGGCTTGCACACAAGGTCAGATACTCACTCTGTCTCTATTCCTCTCTCTCTCTGTCTCTCTCTCTCTCATACATTCGACACCCACTACACACCCTGCTATCTCACTTATACACTTCTCTCTCACACACATGCATACATACAGTGGGGAGAACAAGTATTTGATACACTGCCGATTTTGCAGGTTTTCCTACTTACAAAGGATTTAGAGGTCTGTAATTTTTATCATAGGTACACTTCAACTGTGAGAGACGGAATCTAAAACAAAAATCCAGAAAATCACATTGTATGATTTTTAAGTAATTAATTTGCATTTTATTGCATGACATAAGTATTTGATCACCTACCAACCAGTAAAAATTCCGGCTCTCACAGACCTGTTTGTTTTTCTTTAAGAAGCCCTCCTGTTCTCCACTCATTACCTGTATTAACTGCACCTGTTTGAACTTGTTACCTGTATAAAAGACGCCTGTCCACACACTCAATCAAACAGACTCCAACCTCTCCACAATGGCCAAGACCAGAGAGCTGTGTAAGGACATCAGGGATAAAATTGTAGACCTGCACAGGGCTGGGATGGGCTACAGGACAATAGGCAAGCAGCTTGGTGAGAAGGCAACAACTGTTGGCGCAATTATTAGAAAATGGAAGAAGTTCAAGATGACAGTCAATCACCCTCCGTCTGGGGCTCCATGCAAGATCTCACCTCGTGGGGCACCAATGATCATGAGGAAGGTGAGGGATCAGCCCAGAACTACACGGCAGGACCTGGTCAATGACCTGAAGAGAGCTGGGACCACAGTCTCAAAGAAAACCATTAGTAACACACTACGCCGTCATGGATTAAAATCCTGCAGCGCACGCAAGGTCCCCCTGCTCAAGCCAGCGCATGTCCAGGCCCGTCTGAAGTTTGCCAATGACCATCTGGATGATCCAGAGGAGGAATGGGAGAAGGTCATGTGGTCTGATGAGACAAAAATAGAGCTTTTTGGTCTAAACTCCACTCGCCGTGTTTGGAGGAAGAAGAAGGATGAGTACAACCCCAAGAACACCATCCCAACCATAAAGCATGGAGGTGGAAACATCATTCTTTGGGGATGCTTTTCTGCAAAGGGGACAGGACGACTGCACCGTATTGAGGGGAGGATGGATGGGGCCATGTATTGCGAGATCTTGGCCAACAACCTCCTTCCCTCAGTAAGAGCATTGAAGATGGGTCGTGGCTGGGTCTTCCAGCATGACAACGACCCGAAACACACAGCCAGGGCAACTAAGGAGTGGCTCCGTAAGAAGCATCTCAAGGTCCTGGAGTGGCCTAGCCAGTCTCCAGACCTGAACCCAATAGAAAATCTTTGGAGGGAGCTGAAAGTCCGTATTGCCCAGCGACAGCCCCGAAACCTGAAGGATCTGGAGAAGGTCTGTATGGAGGAGTGGGCCAAAATCCCTGCTGCAGTGTGTGCAAACCTGGTCAGGTCCTACAGGAAACGTATGATCTCTGTAATTGCAAACAAAGGTTTCTGTACCAAATATTAAGTTCTGCTTTTCTGATGTATCAAATACTTATGTCATGCAATAAAATGCAAATTAATTACTTAAACATCATACAATGTGATTTTCTGGATTTTTGTTTTAGATTCCGTCTCTCACAGTTGAAGTGTACCTATGATAAAAAATTACAGACCTCTACATGCTTTGTAAGTAGGAAAACCTGCAAAATCGGCAGTGTATCAAATACTTGTTCTCCCCACTGTATTTGCATATGTATACTTACAGACCACCCCTCACTTACGCACCCACACCAACTGGTGTAATGTGCTGGTCATGATCTCTGTGTCTAACTACTTCTGTATGTTGTCCAGGTGGGACTTCAGTGCGTCTGAGGCAGCCATGATGGAGGCTGTGGGTGAACTGGGAGGTGAGCTGTCCATCCCAGACAACTTCAGCCTGACCGTGCCAGCCTACGACCCTGCCTGGCCCCAGCCCAATGCCCACCCCAGCTACAGCACCAACCCCCAGACCACCAAGCTCTGTGCCACCCTGGGCCTCACAGACATCTATGCCCAGGTCGGGGGACAGATGGACACAGGAGCCCCAGAGCTGGAGGATGATGATGTCCAGAGTGGGGATGAACCCAGTGAGTACCCTAGTGACACCTCAGGTCTGTCCAGCTCCAACCCTGATGAGATCACCATAGAGGAAGAGTGGGATGAAGAAGAGGGAGGAGAGAAAAATGGTAAGGGGGAGAGCCCTGATGCAGTGGTGCCTGAGGGGGAGACAGGGAACGCAGGAGGGAGACGGAACTCAGGGAGCCTCTCTAGAGAGCTACCCCCCAGTCGCATGGTCCTGTCCATGCCGGAGCCCAAATCCCGCTTCTCCCTCATGCCTGTCCCTCAACCTGCCTACCCCCTCTCACTCCTCACCCCTGGAAGGGGAAAAGGAGGGGGAGGAGCCCCATTATCGGATCCCCAAGCGCACCAGTGGGGAAAAGGGGGACCCCAGCAGTACAGGCAGCAACCCCAGGATCAAACGCAGGAACCAGGTCATCTACACAGCAGTCGACGACAAGGAGAGTGAGGACTAGGGCTCGAACTTGACCCAGGTTTTGGTGGGAACTGTTGTGAAATATACAAGATTCTCATGATCTTCTTTCTTTATTGATATTGTCTGTTAATGGGAACCTATTGTCCTTCTTGATTGCAAACCAACAGAGAGCTGTTTTGTTAGGAAAGGGAGAGCGGAGAATCCCACGATGGAAATTTCTGTTTTTAAGTCGTCTAATTTCTGTTTTTGTAAATAATGAAATTATGGACAAACGTTTTTGTTTTTTTTACTAACAAAAAACTAGTTGGATTTCAGACACATTTTACTGAGTAGTGTTGTAGTGTGGGTCAAGTGCAAAAGGGCTGTTGTAAACAAATAAAAAAGTATGTCGTGTAAAGAACGCAGGTTGACATTTATTTTCATGAATCTTGCCCTGGAGGCAGAACTGAGCGATTTCCGCTAGAAGGGCCAGCTGCAAAGTCAAAATTGTCTATGTTGTACAAATTCATGATAACAAAAACTTTTTGTTTGGTCTTAATTTAAGGTTAGGCATTAGGGTTTGCAGTGTGGTTAGGGTTAAAATCAGATTTTGACTTTGTGGTGGTGCCAGCTAGTGACCACTCTGCAGAACTGCCTCCAGAACAAGATTCATAACAAAAAATGCTAACCTGTGTAAAGAACATGAATATGTTTGTACACTAAATCAGGGTTTCCCAAACTGTCCTGTTCAAGCCTAACCCATGACAGAGGAGAGACAAGTGGCACCACTGAACTAAACAATTTATGATACAAGCCCTCATTTATAATTCACTGCACACATGGCGCAATAGCACAGCTTTATTGAACAACACTTTACAGATGAGGACTTCATGATCATTATTACACGACACTAACCTGTGATCATAGAATAAGAGTTAATGAATGAGTGACTCATTGATTTATCAATTAATCATGATGACAGCCCATGAAACATTTAGCTTTTGAATTAAGTAGAGCTCGTCGCATAGGTTGGTGTCCTTAGCTAGCGATTCATTCCAGGGTAATGATATAAGTACTCTAGTTAGTAAAATCAACAACAAACCGTTTCAATAAAATGAGGTGAAAAAATATACGGTGTATTTGACAAGAGCTCCTTACAACCGTACAAAGAGCAGAATTACAGTGTGCAGTAAGAGTTAATGGTTACAAGCTAATGTTGAGGTCCAGGGAAATGCTTTACTTTGACTTTTTAGCTGGGATGGCTAACTCTGGAAATTCCTTTGGTCTACTGAGTTAAGTGAATCAGCTTTTAGTTTTCTTGCACTTTATTTGTAGAACAATCTTCAAAATGTTCTTAAATTTGATGTCTTGGTGCATCTAGGGAAAATCAGAATGCTGATGGAGGACCTTATTACTGATGAATAACCATGTTTCCATCGACAGTTTTTATGAGAGTTGTCATACCGTATAAAAAAAAAGTCACAACAGCTGTGATGGAAACAGGTAGTTTCGGACAATTTTATAAATGCTGACAGATAATTTGTTCGTTCGGCATGGTGGGATCTTTTCTGTGTCTGTAAAATTAATCACGCAAGAAATGGTGGTGGAAACACTTTTATGCCTAAATATTGATAAAATAACCATATCGAAGTAAACGTGTAGTCACGCGATGATATGGTGTGTAGTCCTCCCACTATGACTAGGAAATCATGCAGTTTATTAGGCTACAGATGAAATAATATATTATGAACTTCACAGGGTGGTGAAAGTGCACAGTGATCTTGATGCTCCTTTCCAATAAATATCGAGGGTCTTATTCTGGTGACATGATCGACGCTTGACTGCCGTTTAACAAAAACAATTATTCTCGCTCTTATCCATAATATCATAATGTAGACTAGCCGCTTATTCACCTAGCTAGTTCTTTTAATTTTTATTACTGTTTTTCTTTCTTTGCTTCCATTTTGTATTTATATTTTGATATGTGTATTTTCTGTCATTCAGGGCGCATCGGTAAAAGAGACCTTGGTCTCTGTATGACTCCCTGATAAAATAACGGTTAAATAAAATAAATACAACATTTCACCTTCTGCCAATTGAACACCCCAAAGCAAACCCAAAACAAAGAACATAGGGGAAAAAATGGGAGTAGGCACTTCTTGTTTTGTTTTTTAAACCCCTCGTAAGCACCCTTATTCTTCTTAGCTAAGCCTTGGACACACATGCTAAATCCCTATCCTGTACACCACAGACACTCCTGTAGATCTGAAACAATTGGAAAGGTGGAAGTAATATGGCAAAAAGAATCCACCCATTTGGCCAGGTGACACAACTATCATAATGCATTAACCTATCTGATCTTCAGATCTACATAAAATGTCTAGGGGTTAGGGGTCAATTCTGAATCGATCAACAGTGAGTAGCTCTGACACCAAAGCTCACCATCTCTCTCCAGTGCTTTGAACAGCATCAGCTCATTAGTCATCAACGTTAAAAGCGTTTGTTTACAATGTTTTCAATTACATCAACTCTTAAGCAGTAAGACACAGGACAAATTAGGAACAGCAGAACATATCATGTAGATCATGGCCCTTACATTCACAACATGACAGGCCAGATACCAGATGCAATGGTTTCCTACCTACAGGACTGCAAGCCTAGAGGGGTTTGAGTAGCCTGGTCCCAGATCTGCTTGTGCTGTCTTGCCAACTCCTATAGTCATTGTCGAGCATAGGGAGACAGATCTGGGACCAGGCTAGGGTTTGAGATCAATACCAACTATAAGTTATCACTACGAGGGGCAAGGAGTTTCTCCTGACCAGGAGAAACTGTGGCCATGGATATCACTAATTGTGTACTAGACAGTGGATTGATTGTTAGAAACAGTGGCTGTTTTCAGTGAAAGCCAGACAGACATGGCATAGAGCAGACTCACTCAGTCCCAACAGTAAATAAATACTGCACTCTGGGTTCTTCAGTGTATATCTACATCTGTGGGTGGAAGAAAGATAGATGAGGAGGAGGAGGGGCCTGGATGATACCAGACTGGCACTGGCAGCATGATGTTTCACAACACCGCTGCTCTGAGGAGTAATAATAATAATATAGCCTAGGAGTAAAAATAAATAAGGGCATCAGAAGAGACAATGAACCGTGGTTATCCTCCCTCCATCTTTTGGGATTGTGGGTAACCTGTGCCATCTAACATGGGTTATTCTATCTGTAGGGACTGGGGAGTATCTGGAATGGCTCAGGCCAAGAGTTGTGTTAAGGTTGTCCAGGCTGCCTAGGGCTCATGGCAGAGGAGGGTGATGAGAGGGCATACAGCTCTGCCCTGCTGTGTGGAGCACAAATGGGTATAATATACTCATCCTTCAGACTCCCTCGCTCCATCTGTCCTTTCTTCCCTCTCTGCCACTCAAGAACTGCCACTGCAGCGATTGCATAATCTAATGGAATCATGATTGAAATTAATCGAGACAGACAAAACGTAAAACAACATCCGCGATTAGTGCTTAATACTATACAAAGTGTTGACTCTCGCGCTCTTTTTTCCCCCTCTTCATGTCTGTCAGTCTTTGTCAGACCTCTCTCTCTGTCTTAGTCCGAAACCCCCCTGGCGTTGGTTGGTGAGGGAAACACTCCCAAAAGACAACCGTCCAACTCAAACTCCCTCTTTCTTTCTTGCCCTCTTTCTATTTCTCTGTCTGTCTGTGGATGAGAGGGAGGGTGGTTGGGAGCAGGGATGGCAGGATGACGGTGAAGCGGTCCTAGTTCCCTCCTCCTCCTCCTCCTCCTCCTCCACCACAGCAGGATCGGGTGTTGTGGGCTTCAGGATCCTGTAGGTTCACTCCCCGGTGTCGCGCTGCATGTGTCGGATTCTGGGTGTCTGTTTTGGGCATCTTTTTAGCTGCAGAGACAGTGGAACACACTTTGTTAGAGGCCAATTATAATGTTTGTTATTATTATTTTGACCTAGTTATAACTAGGGCCGGGAGTTTTTCCTGGTCATGTGATGTGGTCATGAAAAACGTTTTGGGTTATTAGGCCAATAGTTAATTTGAATCGAAATGTTTATCCCTATAAGTTGCCCTATAGATTGTCGGGAAAAGATGGAAGCTCACCAATGGCCAGGAAAAGTTCGTTGACATTCATGGCGGTCTTGGCAGAGGTCTCCATGAAGAGAAGTCCAGTGTCTTCAGAATAGGTCTGGGCCTCCTGTCAGACAGGCAACACATAATGGAAAGACTCCATCAGGCAACCATCCATCAGTATTGGGAATCCCCAGTTAGAATTTAAATGTGGTATAGCATTAAGTCATTGTATAGTGAAGGCCATAACATGTTACAAAGTACACTACCTCATACTCCACTAGTCTCTTCTCAGCCAGGTCCGCCTTGTTCCCTGCCAGAGCGATGACAATGTTGGGGCTAGCCTGCCTCTGTAGCTCCTTCACCCAGGCTTTAGCGCGCTCAAACGTCTCCTACAGGAGGGCAAAATAGAGCATAGGAGAGGGACAGAGAGGGGAGAGGAGGTGAGAAAGAGGAGAGTCAGATACAGTGCAACATTTAAATAACATGGCTATGTTAACATGATAGAGAGGGCTAAAGCTTCGATACAGTACAATACATAAATTGTTTACTCCTAAAGTTAGCCCTGAGCATGCATCTTTGTGATGCACTGATGACTGTACCGGCTTGGTGATGTCAAAGACCACGATGGCAGCCTGTGCGCCGCGGTAGTACATGGGAGCCAGACTGTGGTAGCGCTCCTGTCCCGCTGTGTCCCAGATCTCAAACTTCACCGTAGTGTCGTCTAGACACACAGACTGGGCCAGGAACGCAGCTGAGAGAGGGAGAGAAAGAGGATGTAAAACTCATGATGTAAAACTCAGTCCTTTCATCTCAGACAACTCTCCCTCCTTGATCCAGGAAATCTCTCACAGTGTTTTTAACAGAAGTTTATGCTGCGGTACTCAAGGAGCAGAGTTGCCCAACCATGATCTGGGGCCAACAGTGTGCCCGTCAACTCTCCTCTCCCCTTATTCCCCTCCCCCATCACCTCCGATGGTGGTCTCCTGGAACTCATCAAACTGTCCCTTGACAAAGCGCAGAACTAGGCTGGACTTGCCCACTGCCATGTCTCCCAGTAGGACCAGTTTAAACTGGCATATCTTGGTCTGGGGCAGTGTGCTGTTGGGCCGGCCACTCCCTCTGGTAGCCATGGTGATGGTGGAGGGTGAGGCCTCCCAGTGGTCTCTGGGATGTGAAGTCTTTCTCTACCTCTCCTCTCCTCTTTTTCTGTCTACAGATGAGAGAGAATGACAATAGAGGGAACTGTTATGTAAGGCATTGCTGGTAATGGAAAAAGGAAAGAGTGGCTCACATGACGGCAAGTGTCATTCAGTCTGGACAGGTGGGTAATTGTTTCATCTGTATGACATGATTATTACGTGATCTGCAATAATGCCCATCCACACAAATCTAGGGTGACTGACAAAAAACACAGACAGAGGATGTTTTGAGCTGCCTGACAGCGAAGTGTGACTGTCATATTTCATTGTGTGTCGCCCTCTTTGTGCTAGCCTGCGAAAGTGCTATGTAAATAGCATTATAGACCACCATAGGAGTCGTTGCACGGTCTAAACTATTGGTCCAATTGATAGGACAAAATGGTAATGTCTGTCCTTTGCACCAACGACGGGCATATGTTGATCTCCTACTCCCCACTGTCACATGCATCCAAATTCTGTAATTTCCAACTTTGTTGCATGGTTATGGTTATAAAAAATGTCCGACTTGTGACTACATGTCAACTGCATGAACTTTACAAAAATCATGTGCACAAAAGGTCATACAGTTGCTTTTCACCAACTGCACCATACAGCATCACCTGCATTGTAGAAGGCACTATTTGTCAACCAATCATTAGGGTGTTTTTGTTTGACCCACGCAAACGTGGCTAAATATGTGACTGAAACTGGAATCAACTTTGCACGGATTCTACAGCTACAGGAGTACAAATGAAAAGTGATATTTGAGGCCCCTCTAACCAATGAATTGTACGTTATATTTCCAGTTTGTGAGTGTGTGATATGGGGGTATAGAAAAGTGTCTTTAGACATTTATACAGACACACTTTAATAAACAATAGCAGCTATGTTTACACTGCTATGTTGATCAGAGCCTTGCTGTTGTTAAACCACTACCGTGTCCGACTTTCGGCTGTCACAGATGCACCTCCCCCGAATTCACTCGCGGACTTTCGTCTACAGTCGGCTTCATTAGGCTTACCGCTCGAACACACCCATTGTCCTATCAGGGTAATGACTGTGTTTTACTTTCATCACCACCAGAGATCAAACCACGTATGTGGCTTTGTCATTGTTAATTATCTGCTACGCATTTAGCTGTATATTTTATTATATATAGGGGAATAAGAGTTATGCAGGTATTGTCCGTTGTATCTGTTAACTGGTGCATCTCCGTATATAATGGACTCCGTTGTAGCCCAGTCATTTTGCTGCGGATGAGACAATTCGGCTCTGGTTCGACGCCCGTCTCTTGCAGCCTTGCTGCTCCACGTCCCATGTAGCCTACACCCGGGGAGTAGGAAAAACATAAATACATACCAGTGACAGTATCGGCGCTGTATCTGAAACGATCTAAGGTCCCAGTCTTGACTGTTGACAATTTATCAGCTGGTGA